TGTCTGCGGTCTGTTTGCAGACAGCCCCTGAAATAAGATTATTGTCCTCAATGGCTACAACCTTTGTCCATACACTGCTGTCAAGGAGTCAACGTTGGCGGCGTTGGGTGTTGCATTCCATCTCCTCCGCCTTCTCCGTCCACCATGCATTATTCATGCGACGGAGCTCTGAAAGCAATAGCCGACGGTATTTTACTTGCTCCACGTTCGCAGCGAATGCTGCACTCTTCTACGAAGCCAATGCGCCAATGGTCGCATTGTTGTGATCAAATTAATTGGGCTGCTTACAGTTTGCGCCCCTGATGGTTTACTCCGCCACAGCCGTTCCTTGTCCGTGGCTGTGGTCGCTGAGTGATGCGATGTAGTCAACGTCGCCAAGGCAGGTAGCCATCGCCTTCTCCATTTCTAACAGCTATCTAACAGCTTCTGCCTATCGAAAAAATGTAAATTTTAGTCGGTTCACGGCAGATATGATATAGTGCATCTACTGAGACAAATGTACAAATTGTGCTCAGTGCCACACTTAGCTCCACGCAGCACACGTGTCATGCGCACTTCACGTATGTCACGCTGGGGTACGATAACCTAGTCGAGTAGAGGAGCGTGACCACTGCGTGCGTGGGCCCTAGTAAGTACATTTCTCGCACTCAGTGAAAACTGTTCGTTATCGTCAGACCATGAGTGGCGCACAGTGAGAGCAGCCGATCGCTGCTCCGATTTGCTGTGTCGTGCCATGAGGACCGATCTTCTGTCCACGCCGCGGCATCTCGCCCTACGCCCCTGTCGCTCCTCGGCACAGATCGTATCATGCATCACAACTAAACGCAAAATTTATCCCTTGTATCAGCAGGCTAACACCTGTTATATATAGATGTAGAAGTTATCCGTAACTCAGACGGATCATGCAGCAGAAAGGTACACAGAAAGCACACATGGACTGGGCAGTACACTAACTTCCACAGCGCAGTACCACTACAGCACAAGCGGAGTTTAATCAGATCTCTCGCCTTCAGGGCGCGCAGTATTTGTACACCGGATACCGTCAACGAAGAACTACAGAGAATCAGCGACGCCCTCGGGGAAAATGGCTATCCGGATAAATTTATCATGAAACATTTGAAGGAACGTAATCGACAGCTTCGGAGAATGACTTCAAAGTCATTTACTCATTACCTGAACACTTCTCCCAAGGATTCCGCAAACAGCTCTTAGCCATCGCCGAGGCTATGTACATTCACCATCTAAAGCCGGAATTATGTGTCCAAAAACGATTTATACGGCCGATATTACTACCTTGGCCAACGGACAACGTTACTTAGTTATTTGGACGTCATCTTACCTACTTAATTACCTTGTACTAATGAGAATTGTGTACATATGTTTATTTAGTTTACTTAGTCTACCATCTCTATCTCTGTCTCAAGTTATCGATTTTGGTCATTCAAACAGTCAAGAAGTCAATCCCAGCCCCAGTTGACGCTATATCCACAATCACTGTTATGTAAAAGTTTGGGTCTGATGAGATTTACCGAAAAGAATTCTTTACCCTGAAATGATTTCTGATATTGATTCATATATATATATATATATATATATATATATATATATATATATATATATATATATATATATATATCCTGAGGCTGATGTTGCATTCTTAATGCTTCTTCACCGCACTTGGGCTAAACCAACTTACACTTAAACTACGTCTTTTTAAGCTGCCTAAATTTCATTCCACTTTATTAGGTTTATTCTGTCTACTTGAATAATCTTCTATTAACTGGCCACGTTACTTACACTAATTCCGCTTGCCTACGGTAATTTTGTTGCGTTTGTAGCAATTTTAACTAACTTGTGGTCATCTTTTCCTTATCGCGGATTCGTTGCTAACCAACTTACTTTATATGCGAGGAGTTATGCCACCGTATCTGTATGCATTATCGGATTTGTGTTATTTCATCTTGTTGTTTCAGGTGATTAGCTGTTGCTTGATATCCCCGATGTGGCTGCGCTTGATGTGCATGTTAACAAGGTGCCTACCTGTCTATTACCCACTACCTCGTCCGTACTAGCTCCAGCAGACAGTTAGTCGTTTCTGGAGGGGACGGGGTGCACGGTCCGTGTGGCCGTGCTAGGCTCGAAGAGTGGTTCCATGCACTCAGTGTAGGACGGATTACGGTCCAGCCACATCCTTGTGTGCGCTTGATTCCCAAACACAGCGTGCTTGTGTAGGAGTGTGGGCCGGCTCCGTTGATGAAACGTGGCTCCATTCCACGTGACTCCCGGTCTTATTCCTTCAGGTTTGCACTGGATATGGGGGGTGTGGTTGGAGCTGTGAGTGGTGCAGCGCAAGCCACCCATGGTCCCTCTGTAGGCACAGGCGTCTTGTGTCTTTCCTAAGGAGTTCACAGTTTTATGGAAACCCGATACTGGATGCCGGCTTCTTAACAATATATATGTATATATATATATATATATATATATATATATATATATATGGGTGAAGCTGTCCGCTTGTTCCATCTGCCTTTTTTTCTTGAGGCGCGGTGAGATCACCAAGTCTCGCGATCGTCATACGGGTTTTGCTTCAATTGTTTGCTGAGGTTTTGGTGGATTGCACCGTTGCTTGAATCAACTTGTATTGCTCGGTGATGGCCAAACCATTCTATTGAGCGAGCAGTGACCTAGTATCTTATCGGGTGCCCATTGATGCAACAGCTTAACTGACCGGAGAAACGCAACGCCTCTTGCAAGAAACTCCATTGATGTTCGTTGCGTACATATTGCGCCCTAACTTCACATCTGACCACATTTAGTCGCGTGTGCTTGTTTTATACATGGTATTATGATCAACACATCAGCTGCTTGTAGTGTACAGATTTTATGTGTTATGTTCAATACCTAACTGCATCGACGCTGTTTTGATCAAACTTGTCAGTTGTTTCAGGTCATGCTCGGCAGTGAACCATGATGCATCGCTGTCCTCCCGTCGACTACCCATGCGATTTCATTCGATCATGATGATACGGCGGATGAAATTACTTGCTGGCTTGATCAGATATAGTTGATTCTGTTCATTGTAAGGGCTTCGTGAACAATGCCATTGTGTTCCACGTTGTGTTTCCATGTTGTCCCTCGTCGCACTGTTCTTCGGAACATGCATCGCATTTCTTCTCTGTGATGGTGGCTGAAACAGGGACGAAGGAATCGCCTGCCGCAGTGTGGTCTATCAGGCGATCCATCTAGTGGGCAGGTGAGTTTTTCAATTCACAGTTGCACATTGCCTGAGACTTGCGAATACAGCGTTTGTGTGCATAGCCGGTGGGTTTTCTTTCTCTTGACGCGGCTGACAGAACCAGGCACACAACATGGTGACAGAGGTGATTCCACTGCCGACGGCTCTAGAGATGATGGAAAGCATGCTACCGGACAACTGGAAAGCGAACTGGATGGAATTCGCAGCGTTGATCCAATTGAATGAATATCCGAAGTCATACCAATTAGCCATGTTCCGATACGCTGTCGGCCCCGAAGCGTGCCGTATACTGGAGGCGTGGAATTGCTGGGACCATGATGGACTGATGGATCTTTCCCAAATAATCGAGAGATTTGCGAACTGTTGTGATGGTCGATTAACCCTGCTCGCCAGTTGCGGACAGTTGGTCAATGCTTGCTCAGTGGGCTGTAAATGTCAACAATCGACGAAGGATTCAACACTAAAATACTCAGACGGCCTTAGCGAACAAGAGTACGTCTCTCTAACGCCGTTGACACAACATCGATCAGCATCATCATAGCCCGATCTATAAACCACTGACCGCATCCTACCCTCGGAAAGCTGCAACGGAATAGTGTGCAGTACAACACACTGTCGCTTCAAAGGGTCGAACGGACCGAGGCTGCAGCCGAAAGGAATAATTGTCATAAAAACTGAAAATAGAATAAAGGAACGATTTATCAATGTCAAGCTGATCAATGAGGATCTTCGCCTGATGATACTGGAAGGTAGAAAATCGCTATCTACTGAGATCGGGACAAGTTCCATTCAGCGTTTCTTCAGTCGGAGGCGAAGAAAGTTAATAACAGTGGCTAACGTTCTAGTACAGCCTAACCTTACTACGACTGTTATTCCTTTAAACTAGAAACTCGCCCGCAACGGACAAGGATATGGCATATGCAACACATAAACTGTGAAAAAAGAAAAAGGAAAAGATGTGATGGTGGTTGAAACAGGGGGGAGGGAATCGCCTGCTGCAGTGTGGTCGATCAGGCGATCGGCCGAATGGGTAGGTGAGTTTTTAAAATTGCAATTAGTTCTACATTACCTGAGACTTGCGAATACAGCGCTTGTATGCATAGCCGGTGTGTTTTCTTTCTCTTGACGCGGCTGACAGAACCAGGCACCCAACAATCTCACTTCATATGGAAGCAAATGTTGGTAGCTCAGGTTGTTCAGTTGGTGGTCTGAGTGTTCGCTGAGCTCGGCAGGTTGACACTAGGAGGTGAGAATCAGAGATCGATTTCGATGGTCATGTGCTTGTCGAACAATCCAAACTCAAACTAGCGGCTACGAGATCGATCACTCACATTCACTGACTCTCCGTACGCGCCACTCTGCTAAATACCCGCGCACTGATGATGTCACCTCGAGTGGTGACGAAACGTTTGCAGTCAATCTGCCAAGCTCAGCGAACACTCAGACCGCCATTCTCACTTTATCTAATACCTCCCATCTACTGCATAAGGGATCTCACCGACCCTATTTTCCTAGCACTTTCAGAGCTAATTCACGTCAAACCATTGGAACTTTAGTTTAAATCAACTCCTCCCTTTAAACTTGCATTTTCTGTCCATGCATTGTTGAACACTACTCACCAATTTCATTCGCTTTAGTTTCGGTGCAGCTCGACCGTTACAACCAACCATCAAAACACAGCAATGTTTGCTCAGATTTGATACCATTTAACCCCATTATCTCTCCTACCTACTCTCCGCTTCAGACGCCCTTGTGCGCTCTCTGTGCGATGAAGTTGCGCAGACGCTGCACGATTCCCTATTTTGCCAGCAGTAAGTTAATGACTGATCAGAGTTTACTTGCCGCTTACCGATCTTGTGCTCTCATGTTATTCTCATTATTTTTGTGTTCCCTCTCCACTATTGGTCCCACTTCCTTCGGATGCCCAATTGTGTTCTCCTTGGGGATTCTAAACGCTTTAGTACATTTCACTTGTTTACTTCTGAATTGACTTTTTTGGGTCATTTTTGTTCCGGTTTTAGACAGTGTAATACTGCCTTGGTGGCTCGCCATTTTATGAATGTTCATCAACCCATATACACTAAGTAAACCCTGCTATATAATACTTTAGAGGACAGTGTCACCTTCGTTTGAGTGCCCTTTCACATCTGGATCATTCAGTCTTAAAAGCTTCCTCAGACGTCATCCCTTTTACTCGGCTACCTAGAGTTGACAGTTGTATTCTCCGGCGTTCATCTTGTTCCCGTCCTTAGAACCCTTGGTTTTGATGGCTATCCTTCAACCATTTTCATGTCGTTTTCGGGGTTCACCATTCATACACAAGTCGTCCGTTTCAAGAAATCCACCTTAATCATTTTCCGTCTGGTGTTCCTCTTCTAAAACGTATCTTATCTCCAATTACAGCAAACCGCCTTCTTCCCTGTCTATTAAGGGGTTCCAGTGCCAGGAAGATCTCGACTGCAAGGTATGTTTCACTCTGATTGATGTGGAAAGATCAGAGAACCTTGTACTAGTTTGTAAACACTCATCGTAAAATCCTCTTTGCAACACAAGGCATTAGTAATTCTCAGACCAGTCCTTAACAGGCTAGCTTTTTTCAGAACGATTCTTGCCAGCTAGGGCTAACCGAGTCTTGACATCTATCTAAATCTTCATACTTCATCCTTATTGACTCCCACTTGTTTTCCTTTGCATCCCACAATTCACCACGTCCTTTGTGCCCCGTGCTGCCAGGATTCCGCAGGATACATTACCACCACCCTACTTGGTTCGGGCTATAGACTCGATATGCATATTTCCCCTCATTTGCTAGCTTGGAATCTACTGACCTGCATGCTGAATACTGTTAGACCATTCCTTATTATTCTGTATCTTTGAATCGCTGCCTGCCTGTTCCATGAATTTGTGCAGCTGCTCGATCCCAAGGTCTGCAGTGCCACTCGACATGATCTCGCCCAATGCACTGAAGAGGCGGACACGCTTCTCGCGCCCCTAACTCGAGGTTGTGTGATATCAATTCATGTCAAAATACGCTTTACACACTGATATGGACGCAATTTCAGTGCTGGTGTGTCCATGGCACCACAAGATTCGCATATTATCTTTAGTGACCTCTCATTTTTGTTTCGTGGATATATCCCGTCCTGCATTTCTTCTGCATTGTCGTCTCCCGAGGCAGCTGCCTGCTGGGACCTATGTTTTTGCTTCGGAGCTCCTTTCACTGTGTTGATGGGCAGTCGAATATCGCATCTCGCTTGCTCCATTGTTTCACGAACGGCCCATATACTATTTTTAGTTTTTGATATCAAGCTTACCTCGTTAATTGCGTTTTCGCATTGCATGTCTACATTCCGCTCATGCACACATCATTCGACATATTTGTCTTAACATATGTTCGCTTTCCCTACGATAGAAAGCGTCCCGTAGCCTCAAGGTAACAAGGTTGTCTTGTAATCTGCCAGCGCGGCTTCGAGCCTACATATCAGCAGAGCGACTCTCTTACTTTCCTTAGCCTACTTGCGACCGGTGGTGGTTTCGCGACAGCGAACCATTGCTACTGCTTACCGGCGTACTTCTAATGCCACCCTCTGTGATCCATGTGGCTGCATACGGCCCTTTCGCAGTTCCCACCTTTTGTTTCCATCGGTACTTTGTGGTTACGAAATACTCGCAAAGTCAACTTTTGTTCTTTGTTTGCTTTCATTTAAATATCAACTATAATCAGAGGATCGAACTGGGTGCAACCATGATCGCCTACTCTATCATGCTTACAACTAGTATTGCCTGTAAGCAAAGTTATTTTGGAATATATATATATATATATATATATATATATATATATATATATATATATATATGGCGGGAGAGCCTATGGTGCGCTGAGGCTGGTGGTGGCTAGATCCTGACAGATGTTCTACCCACTGCTGCTACTGTTGCGCCATAGTCTCATGTCCTGGGCGCCTCCACGTGGCGACCGCTGGGTGGCAGTTACGTTTCGCCCTTCTCCCTGCTAAGATCCAGGACACCAATCCGCATGAGTCGGCTAACTGACCATGTGCTAGACCCGCTGCCTTTCGGGTGTTCATTTAATCGAAGGCTTTGGCTGAGGACCCGAGTCGTTCTCCTGTCAGGATTGGGCGCCCTGGCAGTATCCTAGTCCATCCTCTCCGGAGGTTAGGAAGTGGTCGATGGCCCACTTCCCGTAAAACCTAGCCATGGGAGACAACAGATTTACGGGTTATAAGCTCACAGCTCGATTGGCGTAGAGCACGAGTGCCACGCATTGTCTCTGACGGTGGGAGGACACCTCCGGGTGTTCAATGGTTTGCTACTGCCCGCCTCAAGCCAGGCAGTCCCTGGTCAAGTTGGTGCAAACCCGCCAAAAACCCACCTGCGTCTGGCCGTGGTCGCAGGTGCGTATCCAATTACGGTCGCAAAACATGATAACTGTTCCAGAACCTCAAAGGCTGCGTGTGACGGCCGTCAAGCAGATCCCAATCTGTCTCTGCAATCACATTCCCGAGCTGGATCTGCTCTCCACTGCTTGCGGGTCAGGCTGTTGAGCCAAAGGCTCCGGACGGAGTCCCTCAAGCAAACCTCCAAACCACCCACTGCCTTGTGGGTCAGGCTATTGAGCCAAAGGCTCCGGGTGGAGTCCCCCAAGCAAACCTCCAAACCACCCACTGCCTTGTGGGTCAGGCTATTGAGCCAAAGGCTCCGGGTGGAGTCCCTCAAGCAAACCTCCGAAGGACAACGACCACCTCGCGTGCGATTGCCCACCAATGCAATCGTATGCCTGCGCGCAAAGCACTCAGCATCGGGTGCTGGAACCTGCGCACACTACTGGACCGGAACTCGAGCGAGCGCCCGGAGCGACGCATTGCACTGGTCGCAATGGAGCTGGCGCGCTACCACATCGATATTGCGGCGCTCAGTGAAACTCGGCTCGCTGAGCAAGGTAAGTTACATGAAGCAGGTGCTGGCTACACATTCTACTGGGTGGGGAACGCCGCCTCAGCACCACGTGAACATGGGGTCGGATTTGCAATATCCGACCGCCTGAATGGCCAGCTGGTGGGTGAACCAACGGGCATCAGCACGCGGCTGATGACTGTTCGCCTACGACTCGGAAGAGGTAAGTTTGCTACTTTTATGAGCACGTACGGTCCGACCATGTGTTATCCTGATGACACGCGTGATCAGTTCTACACTGAGCTATCCTCCGTGATACGGTCTGTGCCGAGGAGCGACCGACTATTTTTGCTGGGTGATTTTAACGCGCGCGTTGGGCTTGATGCATCAGCGTGGACAGATGTTATCGGTGCGCATGGCATTGGTTCAGCGAATGCGAACGGTGACAGGCTGCTCTCACTGTGTGCCACTCACGGCCTGACGATCACGAACGCTCGGTTTGCACTGAGTGCGAGTGATATAGCAACTTGGACGCACCCACGGAGTGGTCACGCTCACCTGCTCGACTATGTCATCGTACGTCAGCGTGATATGCGTGAAGTGCGCATGACACGTGTACTGCGTGGAGCTGAGTGTGGCACTGATCACAAATTGGTTCGGACCAAACTGTACATATATTTTCGTAAATCGATGTATTGCACTCCCGCCGTGAATCGGCGTAAATTTAACATTCTCTCCCTCGGTACTGTGGCGAAACGTACTGAGCTGGAGAAGGCGATGGCTGCACGCCTGTGTGGTGATGTGGACTGTATAGCCACAGTGGGCGACCTGTGGCACCACATTCGCGACCACGTGACAGCTGCTGCGGAGGAGACCATCGGGCGCGCAAACTGTAAGCGGCCTGATTGGTTTGATGACAACAATGTGTCGATTGGCGCATTGGTGTCAGAGAAAAATGCAGCATTTGCTGCACATGTTGCAGACCCCAGTGACTTGGGGAAGAGTAGTCAGTTTCGCAAACTTCGACGGCGACTGACCCGAGAGCTCCGTCGCATTAAAAATGCATGGTGGACGGAGAAAGCGAAGCAGATGGAATGCTACGCCGAACGCCGTCAACACAAGGAATTCTTTGACTCCTTGAAGGCGGTGTATGAACCGAGATTGGAGCCGCTGAGGACACTGATCGATGGTAGTTCAGGCGTTACCTGCATCCAGACTGCAGACATAATGCAGGTCTAGCGGAAACACTTTGACTGTCTCTTGAACAACCGTTCAGAGATCGACTGGCCTACATTGAATGGCCTGAAGCAGCACGATGTGAAGATGAGTCTGGCGGATACGCCGACACTGGATGAGACGCAGAGAGCACTTGCTCAGCTGCGAAACGACAAATGTGCCGGAGGTGACGGGATCCCACCTGAAGTATTGAAACACGGCGGACCCGCGTTGTTGACTGCGCTGCACCACTTGGTGCAACGCGTGTGGATTGAGGAGGAGGTGCCTGCTGAGCTGAAGGATGCCCTTGTGCTACCACTGTACAAGGGCAAAGGTAGCAAGCAATGTTGCACGAATTATCGTGGCATCAACTTGCTGAGTTGTGTGGGCAAGGTGATTGCCCGAATCCTGCTCAATCGCCTCGTGAGTCAGGTTGTGGAACTGAACTTGGCGGAAGAGCAGTGTGGATTCCGTTCGGGTCGCAGCACTATAGATATGGTGTTTGCGGCTCGTCAGTTGCAAGAGAAGTGCAGAGAACGACACCAGCCATTGTACTCGCTTTTTGTTGATTTCACCAAGGCATTTGATACGGTGAACCGCGAGGCACTGTGGCTGGTATTGGGTAAGTTTGGTTGCCCGCGTAAGTTTATAAGTTAAATTGAATGTCTGCACAGTGGTATGCGAGCGAGGGTGCAGCTGAGTGGAGAGACCTCTGATGACTTTACAGTTGTCTCTGGTGTGAAGCAAGGCTGTGTGTTAGCTCCTGCCCTGTTTAATATCTATCTTCATGCAATGTTGTCTTGTGCTTTTGATGCGGCTTGTGCTTACGGTGTTCGTGTGGAGCACCGTATTGATGGTGGGTTGCTGAACATCCGTCGTTTCGGTGCGAGACCTCTAGTCTGTGAGACAACTATCCGTACGTTGCTGTTTGCTGACGACCGTGCGTTGTTTTCACACAGCGCGGATCAGTTGCAGCACATGACTAGTGCTCTGGCTTCGACAGCGGCCAAATTCGGGCTCACCATCAACACAAGCAAAACTGTCTGTCTCTTTCAGCCTTCACCGGAGGTGCAATCTTCAATATTGCCGCAAATCAGCATTGGTGCTGAAGTATTGGAAACCACCTCCCGCTTCTGCTACCTTGGGAGTGTGATGTCGACTGATCAGCAGCTACATGTTGAGTTGCGTAATCGCGTGTCGAAGGCGGCAGCGGCATTCGGGGAGCTTGAGTACCGAGTGTGGAACAACCATCAGCTTAGCATTGGCACGAAGCTGATGATGTACAAATCCATGGTACTGTCCGTTCTTCTATACGGGAGTGAAACGTGGACGATGTACCGGCGGGATGTGCGATATCTCGAGCGGTTCCATCAGCAGTGTCTGCGACGAATTTTGCGGATCGGCTGGGGCGACAGAGTTGCAGACACGGAAGTGTTGCGCCGAAGTGGGATGTATGCAGTGGACTGCATACTTTTACTGAGACACCTGAGGTGGCTCGGTCATGTGAGCCGTATGGATTCGACGCGAATACCGAAACAACTTTTATACGGTCAGCTGAGTATAGGGAAGCGGCATGCTGGGAAACCCAAGTTACGTTACCAGGACATGATTAAAGTGAGCCTCACACGTTCTAATCTTGATTGCAGATCATGGGAATCGAAGGCGGTTGATCGGCGTGCATGGCGCGATCTAATCACGAAGGCAGTTGATGAAGTGCGGGAGAAAGCCCTCATGCATGCAGAGAAGAAGCGGCAGTTGCGGAAGCGGCAAGCACCGATGAATTGTACTCCATCGACATCGAGCGCATTGTGCTGTAGAACATGCGGTCGCGAGTGCCTTAGTCAGGCAGGCCTAGTGAGCCATGAGAGAGGTCACTCGGGACCACTGCCGAAGCGACGACGGGTCACGCAGTGAACGTAGGCAGCACCGGCACAGCGTTTGTAGGCACGCTGAATTCGATCTACTAACCGCGTGCTTGCATGCTAAGTCTCTTTATTTCAGGTGGTGGGTTTACAGTTTTTACCTTAATGCTTTTCTTTCTCATATAAATATCTCCCTGTACTCTATTCCATTAACTTGCACACATCGCTTCAGCCAATTGTATTCGATTTCCATAACATTTTTGTGTTCGTGGCATACCGTGAACTATACTTCCTGACCTCGTGCACATAGCTAGGATTTGTTTGTAAACAACTTATTACGTATGCTATTTAATTAAGTTTTATGTCACCGTTTCCTTATGCATTAATCGAGTTTTACTCTTTTTCTTTCTCTCTCTCAAGTGTTTGGCTGTTGCTTAATATCCCCGGTGTGGCTGCGCTTGATGTGCATGTTGACAAGGTGCCTACCTGTCTATTACCCACTACCTCGTCCATACTGGCTCCAGGAGACAGTTGGTCGTTGCTGGAGAGGACAGGGTGCACGGTTCTCGTGGCCGTGCTAGGCTCAAAGAGCGGTTCCATGCAGTCAGTGTGGAGCGGACTACGGTCCAGCCACCACCTGGTGTGCGACTGATTCCCCAAATACAGTGTGCTTGTGTTTGCCTGGGAACGAATGTGAGCCGGCTCCGTTGATGAAACGTGGCTTCCATTCATATGTCTCCCGGTCTTATTCCTACGGGTTTACACTAGATATGGGGTGCGTGGTTGGAGCTGTGGGTGGTGCAGCGCAAGCCATCCATGGTCCCTCTGTAGGCGCAGGCGTCCTGTGGCTGGCCACAGTAACAGGCATATCCGAAACCGGATGCCGCCAACCATATATATATATATATATATATATATATATATATATATATTTCTTTATTTATTTATTTATTAGGTGGGCTGGAACTTCACTAGTTCAGAGTGATTGTTAATCGATCAGCTCATTCCTGGAGTGGCGTATTGCACTACAGTTCTGTGAATACTATGTTAACTTAAGCGTATTGGAGAGACACCGCCCTGCAAATTATTCCTTTATTTTACCTCAGAGGAATACTAGTGACCCTGTAAAGCATTTTTGTTCTACTCGCGTTCTAGTTTCTATTCCCTCTTCTTTTCCCATCAGCTTGTGAACTTAATCAGCGATTGCTTCCTCTCCAGTCCGGTGGAATTACCAGACCACTTCATCGCGCATTTGGTTCGCCTCTTAAGCCTAGGATCTATACAAGCCTCATCCACACTCCACGACGGCACGGTGAAGGAGGCCAATGGATCTGACTTGAATGACGCAAACGGGTCCTCACCGATATGGTGCACTTTAACAAACAATGACCTCCATGATTCCTCACATACCGAAAAACGTCCTAAAGTAATCGGGATGGCTGTCCGACAGACTGATTTCTTCGGATGTGATGATCCACTTGTCGATAGCGCAATGCAATTACATTTGGACTTGGATCGTCTGCGGCAGTACACTTTCCGCGAAAACTTTGCTCGCCTATGTTTCAACAAATTGCTTAGTCACGCGTTCGCTGGTTCTCCACTGAAGTCACCTACTATTGATTTGGCAATGTCTTCCTCGGCTCCAGCCGCCCCCATCAGTGTGAGCCGTGCCGCCATCCAGAGTATATTGCAGCGTTGCCGATCAGTCCTCATTCGATTTTATCAATCGTCACAGCTAACTGGGAAATGTCCGCTTCCAAGGTATCGGTTGGGTTACTTTTGTTCTAGACTGTCATCAGTGCTCGCCTCGTGCTCGACAAGCACCGATCCTTCCTGTTGCTTTTACAGCTGCTTACGTGTATTTTAGGTCTTATTGGAAATGTCTACCCTGAGCGTCTTTTCCTGTGTCTATACTGTCCACTTGAAACCCCACGTTTTCATCATTGGTGCGTTAACTAGGAGTACCGCATGACCATCCAGAGCCGTGCTAAGTGTTAAAGCCAAAAGTTCCTCTCCGTAGCGACATCTGATTCATCCGCTACCACGTCCTAATATAATTGTAGAGTCAATCCCACATTCTGTTCATCGAGATAGATGTCGTACGGAGCTGAACTCGCCTTTTGCTTACGTTTTTGAACGTCCTATCGTGACATTTTATCTACCACAGACTGCTTGACTGAACGTTCGTGCTAGTTTGTTTCATCATCGTGCTTCGCAACCACCCACATTCCTTTTCTTGCAGCGCCTCTTTGGTTACTCGAGTCCCATCCGCACCGTTATATAGAAAGAAGCCGTTTGTTCATATTTTCCTCCCAGCGAATCGTTCCTCCTTTAGCCTGTGTTGTAAACACAGCACAATTATGCTCCGTCTCCCACCATCACTGTTTCGCGTACATTTGTCTCAAACATCATTTCTTTTATCACGCCATAAACTTTCTGATAATTCCTATTTTTCTTTAGCTACCCTCGTCTCTAACCACGCTACACATACTGCTAACGTTTCCAAGGCATATTGTATCTTCCATAAATCACCTTCACTTTTTTATCCGGTCTTCTGACATGGCTACTCTTGCATTTCAACGAGCTTGCTTCCCTCTCGGCATTCTCTTCCTCATACAACTCTGTGGTTCGCACATAACCCCGCGTGACCTCCGCACATCTTATATGGATTTGCAAATCTCACAAGCTACTTCAATGCTACCAAACCTTTCACATCACATTGCCTTCACAATCACTGTTGCAAGCCCAATGACGTCATCTTTTTAACAGATATGATATGTTCACCTATTCCAGCGATACCGTATTTGAACGTTTCACCATTTAACTCAGGCGGTAGCAATAGCACTAACAGTAAATCGGTAATTTCTAAGTGTTTACCATACGACAACCAAGGCCCTAGTATTAAAAAGCAATAACTATGGAAGCGAAATGGGCTCTGACGTGTAAAACTTAAATATCCCATTCTGACATTCAGAGTCAAAGCGTTTACACTTGGTCACCATCGCACAGTCACAAACAGGATAAAGCGATACTAGTGTTGCAACTTCCAGCACATGATCATGTTTCTTTCACAAATGACCCAGCGTCACACACACATTAAAGTGGCCGTCCGACGATGAAAAGACAGCAAACGTACCATTGGTGCCGATCGCGAGCCATGGCCCTGTATCGTTTCGAGCCACGCATAGGGTGAGTCATGTAAATGAGATGAGTCAACAGAACCCAATCCAGTCGACATCGGATTCGGTTCCCGTTGCCACGGCAATCTGTCCTCCTCTAGCTTCATATCTTCCAACATCCGATGGGCGAACGCAGGCACGTACGTATACAAACCAACACAACTTACTCGGCCTTGTTTGTTGACCTAAGAGGAGCCTCACCGTCACCAATTGCTACTTCTGCTTGGCCGTCAGTTTGTAGTCACCAGAAATGCGGATCGAACCATCTGAATTTTGTATCGAAACGATCGGTGCGGCCCAAGATGAGTGGCGAACCGGTGGGATTCTACGGTCCTTTTGAAGGAGTTCCAGCTGCGACTCTACCTTTGGACGGATTGCGAAAAGCAAGTTTCGTGCTTTAAAAAATTTCTTTTGTATAGCTGGCCTGATGTGGAAACGAGCTTTGAAATCACGTAATTTTCCAGACAGATTTGCATCAAAAGCACTAGCAAAAGCTTTCAAATGCGACCCATCTTTTTAACAGTTTGAAGTATTTACGACATGTTTCAGCCAACTTCTTCCAAGTAGCTTTGGGCCGTCGGTGTTAACCTCGATCAGTGAACGAACCAGTTTGTTGATTCCATGAGTTACTATCACATCACACACGCCCAATACATCTAGTATTTCTCCAGTGTAAGAACGTAACGTAGACTGAGCTAGTATCAGAACCAGATCAGGCAATTTTCATCAAGGTGACTGATGCCCCCTATCGAGTAGCCCTCCGGGAAGCAAGAAGGCTGGTCCGCGATCACGAGTTCGTTTAATAAGATTACGCTTGCATATTTCTCGAATATACACACTATTTGCAACAGTCTGCTTCATTGGCTAATCCTTATTATTTGCATTCTGTCGCTGTCTCCATTTCCATTGGTTTACGCTCGCCCTTCACGTTCATTCTGTCTAAAAGTATCCTGACTCTCTTGATGGATTGTACGATGGGCTCGATTGGGCACTCGTCCATCAGGCCGCACGCTTCTTCCCTCGGTCCAATATCACAAATCTCGATTCAAATGTGCATCAATAAGCTCCTCACGAGTATGCGCTTCTTCGCCTGTACTTTTGGAACTTGCTGGCGCCTGATTGGTCACTTGCAAATTCGGCGTGTTTGCTGACTGTGTTTGCAGAGCTCTCTGCGGGCGTGCGCCAACCATTTACTGTTTGGCTGACCAGTCTGCTTCCGATGACATGCTCACTTTCTATCGGGCTGGACTGAACCTGTCTGGTATTCTGCGAGATGCCCAGTGGCATTCAATTGGCCGTCTGCCTATCGGTACCACAACATTTTCAGTCACCAGCATTTCCTGTCCCCACCACACCCCCAATGTCAGTTTCCAAGCGCACTGACTGGCCTGTTTAAATCTACATTATATGTTGGTATCCCCATAACATGGGAAGTGATGGTGTGTGATATTAGATACGACATGGACTCGTCAGCATTTCATGCAGGGCGAGATCTCGAACGTTGGAGGACTGTCGCTTCGCACACACGTGCGAGATGTTCAAACTCACATCATTTGTGACAGGTAGAATGCTTGTGTCTACAATCAACAGCGTTTTCATGCTTTTCACCTCATCGATAGCAAATAAAAAACGTTTTACGGTGGGTGAAGGTGGCGATTTGACCGCCTGAACTGTGTCGGTAGGAGAATCGTTCCGATAGTGAACCAATTGTTGCACCACGCTTTCCCTTTGTCTTACCAGTGAACATGCTGCCTCCTATTTAAGTTTGTTTTCCATCTTCTGAGAGTAGACCCCCTTTGGCTTTATCGCCCCGAATACCAACCAACACACACTGAACAGCCACTGTCTTTTCAAACTTATTGGGAGGAATTTCATTATAACGGCAATCAGGAAGGGACTGTTGTATACCACTGATGAATTCAATAATACCTTCTCCATCTCCCTGTCGTAATTGAGTAAATATCAGGCGTGCAGTAAAGACATGTTGAAGCGGCCACCCAAAGGCAATCGAGTTCATAAAGTCTGCCCGGCAAACATGTGTCTTCGTACAAACGCAACGCATCAAAATGTCTTTGACATTCTGCACCGAGAAGTTGTCTTAGGAGTTTCGACGGGCTTAGTTTCGGTAAGATTGCTATGAGGATTTTTAACTAAAAATAGATCAAGGTACTCTCAGAAGATTTTCTTCCAACGAGTCCAAAGTACTAAAGTTAGTTTGAAAGACATGCTTCCAAAATGGTTCAGGTGGAGTAAGCTGGCTCCTAGAAATTCATTCCAAGTTTGATCTCTGTCGCCAATCTTATAGCTTGGTCCTTGCGAAACTACCGCTCTCAGCATAACCCGGTATTCAGTAGTACGCGAAATTTATTCAGACTAGAATCAAGTACAACGCTTCGCGCAATTAAAAATAGTTCGATCGATGATTATCTTGGCGTTATACGGACACGCCTGACGCCGGTAAGCCCAGGCAGTAGGAAACAGGTGAACAAAGTTCAATCCGTGATTGGCCTAACACTGACCATTAAATCCAGACAACAGGAACTAGGCGAAGTTATTTAACGCAGATGCCAAGCTTAATGAAAGCGTGACAGCCCCGCCTAACCGCAGTTTAGACACTGCTCCTTCACCTGTTTACTCTATTGCTTAGGCCTTGAAACACCCTTGGTCATTCTCGTCTTACTGCATAAAAGTCCAAATAGTAATTTTGCCTGCACACAGCTGATTGCTTTTTTGGTAGATAACGTTCACGTTGTTTCCTTATGCAATACTGTGGTGCGCGCTGAGATGCGTACTGCGATCCTGTGATCAAAATGGGCGACATCGCACTTGAAATAGTGTTTGCCTGACTTTCACCGGTCTCCATTCTACTCTGGCAGGTCATTTCTTACCGTCGTCTCTTCTGCGGTTACCTTGCTATTTCTCTTCTTTCTTTTTTTCCACACACAGAGTGCGGTTGATTGAGATATCTTATGTGTTCAAAGCACTCACAGTGATGCTCACATCGTTACAATCCGCCTTTTCGCGTCGCAACAGTGAGTCAGCTCCGAAAGATTTTTCTTCCTGTATTTGTTGTTCGCACACGATATAAGTTTTCTATACAAGTTTTGAATGCACATACCTCGTAATCTTACAAGCAGCAGCCTCCTCCATGCTGAGCATTAGTCGCATTATGTCACCTCACGACAGGCCTTGATTTCCTAATGCGACCGAGACATTGCTACGGATATTTCGGCTGTTGTACAAACATTATCTTACTTGACCACCTTTGAATGGCGTTGAGTCATCCTCCTCATCAGATTCCTGCTTTGTAGTAATCTGCGTTGCACCCATCTACCTTGTTTCTTATACTTGCTTTACTGCGGTTCGTTTATTCTCCTTCGTGAATGTTGATGTTACCCAACCACGTGGCTGTCGGTTAGGAACATTCGACAATGGGGTAAGACCATAATCTGTGTCAAAGCACACGCTCGTTTTGACTCTGTTAGCATCTTATTTCGCTACCGATTCTGTTGGGGTTTGTCAGAAACCACAGCAAATAATCGCCTCGATTATCTACCGGGAAGATGATTCGGCCCACGTTTAGATAAGGCTACCAGAACACCTTGCATGCTACTACTCTGCAGATGTCGTTCCTAAGCGAATAAGATCTTCACTACCAAGCCTGGCAGAGAAAATTTTGCTTGTAGCACTATCAATCACCAACCCACCGAACACTAGACATGCCGGATGTCAGTGAATTCGCTGTGACACAAAGTGACCTGTGCGGTTTTCCAGGCGCTAACTAGAGCGGAGTCCATGAACCGGTAAGGAAGCTTAGTCTACTTAGGGTATGGAAGAGTTAGGCGTATTGAATTACCTCCCTAGATCCTCTGTACTGATCCGTGCCACTGGACCGAGACAATCGTTGACAACGTTGGCGTACCGATTCACAGTAAACGGGTTCTTGTAACTCGTTCACTAGCTTGCTCTCAGGGACAGTTTAGTTGGGCTACCATCTCTGATCCGCCCCACTGTCCATGTGGCACAAGCTGAACTAGGGCCGATTGGTTTAGAAGTTCCATCTGAAGCTGAAGTCTGAAATATTCCCGCATTTCTCGGCAGTTTCTGCGCTGGTTATCGTGATTTTTAGTGCCCCTTTTATTTCAAACTGTTGGTGGGGTCTTGTGCAAGACAGTTGGTTGCTCGTTCAAACAACGTGAAAGAGCGAATCGATCAGAATGGTAATATTCATCTCGATGCATAATTGATGAAATTCCTTGCCTTCCTTCTCATACCCCATCTCACCGTGTAACTGGGATCGCAGATAACAGGACAGGCGCAAACAACAACGGGTTCAGAGCACCGTTACTCGAACAGTGTGTCCTACCGTAGGTGCGCTTGTTGATTACAAATGCGCGCTCGACTCAGTCATTCACTCCGTTCTGTTCGATATACTTGCCCAACGAGCTGTCTCCATCGGATGGGCGAATATTCGCATACATTTTGTTCCAATACGTCAGCTCTTGTCATGGTCTAGGCTGAATTGTTGGACGTCACCCCTCTACGAAAATTAGTGCTCATCAGTGTGTACTTACCTTTAACATGAGCATTATCGTTGAATGTTCACTTGCCGAGTCTCATGATGCAGCATGGAGTTACTATCCAGACGAAAATTTGTCGCTCTGGATCATGCGTACGATCTCGCCTTGTTGCTTGTTAATCGTGTGGCGGCACGGTTAACCGTAAGCAAATTCACAGAAAAGTTCCATCCGTTGGCATATGCTTTGTATCCTCGAAGTGCACTTGCAAGACCACTAGCCATATAACAGTAATTTTATTGTTGACATCGCAACGCCGGCGCTAGTCACTTTATTCACCCATCTCGGAATCGACATTAGCAACGAGGAGCATATGGATGCTTGAAGTTAGCTCACGTGTCGTTACATAAGCCGGAACTGCTTTCATGAGTTTTCGATACTGAAAAGAGAACTTCCATCTTCTCGAAAATCGTGCCTACCTTACCAATGTGATATAACTCTTTCGATCTGGGGACCTACAACACCTTTACATCTTTGGCCATCGCTGCCTACCAAGTTGTTCTGACCAAACATCCACATACACCACAATTTCAGTTGCATACACCGTTTACTATCCGCGCCTTAAAAGAGCCTTCGGTTAACTGCGTTTATACTAACTCAATTGTGGAAAATCGACATGTTGATGTGCCTTGAAAACTTATCTTTTCCTCTTGAAAGCGTGCAGTTGTTTGTGTTACTGTACCATATCCGGTGCAGATGCAACTCCGCATCGTTTTTCCTTATGTCGTACCTCCTGTTGGTACACCGTTCTACACACTGGCACCCAACTCACACTGTTGCTCGTTTTGTGTCCCCTACCATTCAATGGTGCTTTATCTATATACACCCATATATTATGCCCATTCAAACGTTAAAAGGGTAATTTAAAACAACTTTCTTTTTGATAAATCGCGTCAGTCATATACAGTTTTTGTTTGGGGTTTCTTCGCAGGAGCCTTAACATTAGATAGTCCTCCACATGCCCGAGAAAACACCGGTCGGTCGTTTCGACCTGTTGGGTCTCATCAGTAGTGCACACCCATTGGTTTGAACCGCCAGCCAGACCTTTATGTCACTGAATCATGGGGGACATTGACGAAACGTCATGATTTACAAACTAACTGCGGTATAGTACAAGTTACGAACGTTGCAGAGGACAGAGTTGGACCTGAGAAGCACCTAACACTTAGAGCTTGTTGAGGCAGATACTTGCTATACTCATGAGTAGAGGATTTTTGATGTTAACTGTTGTTTTTGCGCAGCACCTTCCAAGCCTGATAGTCCTCCACATGCCCAACACTTCTCAAGGGTCGTCTGGTGCTTTTCCGGGTATATGGAAGACTATCTGATTTGGAAGCTGCTGCGAAAAATTCTTCCACAGTTTACATCCAAAGTCCTCTACTTATGGGTATATACAGTTATAAAAAACCTACTCTTTGGAAGAGAAGTTATTGCTAACGTTACAGCGATGTGAATGTCAGCCGACCAGACTTTGGCCAGGGTGCGGTTAAACTTTACACGGTTCCTGCTGCAGCCGCTTGATTGCATTTCCTTCTACCACGGTCGATAGGCGCTTTCTGGGTTGTTAAGGCCTACACGTGCGGAACTAACGCAAGCCTGCAAACACAGTAATGGCCCATAGCTGAACTACGCAGGGGCCTTTAAATCGACCGTGCCGTTGTCACTGGACATTTTTTCACAACATCGCTATGGATACATTAGTTTTTTCGGAATATTTCAACATTGATATTTGTCAAACTATTTCCAAGATCCCTCGCGTAATTTTTGAGAAAAGCTCAAAATACTGAGCACGTGAAATTGGACGGTTCCGATTGAAAATCTAGCTTGCGACACCGGCTTTAGATTATTCTGTCCGGAACAGTTTAGTTATTGTTTGTTTACACTACTTGTTTCTTTAAGTGACGCCTCTACACAGTGTTTTTTCATTCGTACAAATTCACAGTTTTGATGATGTAAATATGGCTCATCCGTAGTCGATATTGTGAAGTACTGAAAATCTACCCATCTGGATACATAAGGCTTATCTTGACTTCGCCTGAAGACACCGAGCTGGTAGCACGCAACGTGCATTCTGACAAGAACGCGTACAGAGCACTGATCAAGTGGCTGAGTGGGTAATCTATAGACAGACATACATGCGCACATGTAGCGACAGTCAATGCTGCGTGACTAGCTACTGAGACTCACGCCACAAGGTCTTTTGGACTGTGTTTTGATGTGACACAAACTACTTTAAGACCATTTTTGGTCTGTATCTTATGTCCACTGCTTAGTAGTGTTCCAATATGGAGCCGTGGACATCCTTAGTCCTGCCATGTTATAGTGAAGCGTGGCAGAGTTCTGCAATTTGCTTTGGCAGATGTCCGGTCGTGTGTCCGAGGTACCTTGCACCCCAGGTGCAGGGGAACTGATATGGTTGGCGGCATCCGATTTCGGATTTGCCTGTCACTGTGGCCAGCCACAGGACGCCTGCGCCTACACAGGGACCATGGATGGCTTGCGCTGCACCACCCACAGCTCCAACCACACACCCCATATCCAGTGTAAACCCGAAGGAATAAGACCGGGAGGCATGCGGGTGGGAACCACGTTTCATCCACAGAGCCGGCCCACACTCCTTCACAGGCAAACACAAGCACACTGTATTTGGGAATCAAGCGCACACAAGGCGTTGGCTGGACCGTAGTCCGCTCCACACTGAGTATATGGAACCACTATTCGAGCCTAACACGACCACAAGGACCGTGCACCCTGTCCCCTCCAGCAACGACCAACTGTCTCCTGGAGCCAGTATGGACGAGGTAGTGGGTAATAGACAGGTAGGCACCTTGTCAACATGCACATCAAGCGCAGCCACACCGGGGATATCAAACAACAGCCAAACACTTGAGAGAGAGAAAGAAAAAGAGTAAAACTCGATTAATGCATAAGGAAACGGTGACATAAAACTTAATTAAATAGCATACGTAATAAGTTGTTTACAAACAAATCCTAGCTATGTGCACGAGGTCAGGAAGTATAGTTCACGGTATGCCACGAACACAAAAATGTTATGGAAATCGAATACAATTGACTGAAGCGATGTGTGCAAGTTAATGGAATAGAGTACAGGGAGATATTTATATGAGAAAGAAAAGCATTAAGGCAAAATTGAAAACCCACCACCTGAAATGAAGAGACTTAGCATGCAAGCACGCGGTTAGTAAATCGAATTCAGCGTGCCTACAAACGCTGCGCCGGCTCGCCGTAATTCTCTGCAGGACCCGTCGTCGCTTCTGTAGTGGCCCCAGATAACATAGCTCATGACCCACTAGACATTTATATGAGAAAGAAAGGCGTTAGGACAGAACCGAAAACCCACCACCTGAAATAAAGAGACTTAGCATGCAAGCACGCGGTTAGTAGATCGAATTCAGCGTGCCTACAAACGCTGTGCCGGTGCTGCCTACGTTCACTGCGTGACCCGTCGTCGCTTCGGCAGTGGTCCCGAGTGACCTCTCTCATGGCTCACTAGGCCTGCCTGACTAAGGCACTCGCGACCGCATGTTCTACAGCACAATGCGCTCGATGTCGATGGAGTACAATTCATCGGTGCTTGCCGCTTCCGCAACTGCCGCTTCTTCTCTGCATGCATGAGGGCTTTCTCCCGCACTTCATCAACTGCCTTCGTGATTAGATCGCGCCATGCACGCCGATCAACCGCCTTCGATTCCCATGATCTGCAATCAAGATTAGAACGTGTGAGGCTCACTTTAATCATGTCCTGGTAACGTAACTTGGGTTTCCCAGCATGCCGCTTCCCTATACTCAGCTGACCGTATAAAAGTTGTTTCGGTATTCGCGTCGAATCCATACGGCTCACATGACCGAGCCATCTCAGGTGTCTCAGTAAAAGTATGCAGTCCACTGCATACATCCCACTTCGGCGCAACACTTCCGTGTCTGCAACTCTGTCGCCCCAGCCGATCCGCAAAATTAGTCGCAGACACTGCTGATGGAACCGCTCGAGATATCGCACATCCCGACGGTACATCAGGTGAACGGATATAGCACAAATGATACGGCCTTGACCGGAATAGTCTTTTAAGCGATGTTTGATAAGTGGAACGATTTCGGCCGGGATGCGGGTCCTGGCGGCCGGATATGTCTGGCTCAGTTCAGAAGGTAATTTGTAAGGTACTAGGTAAACGTTCTTTTTCCCAATCTTCCCCATGATTCGGGAACAGCATGAATCCCAGAATGCTTTCACGCGTTTGTAGTTCAAGCTACCTAGAACACAGGCGTCTGTTAAAGCGTATTACGTAACACTGCCCCGCTTCACTATAACCTGGCACGACTAGGAATGTCCCACAGTTCCATTCTGGGACACAGCGGACACCAGATACATACCAAAGACGCTTTTAGCTCATTTTCTGCTAGCGCTTTTCTAAGGACCTCTGAAATGTAATTTAGGCATTGATGCAATTAGGAAAAACTTGGATTGGCCAAAATTATTTCATTATACTAAAGATTAGTGTCTTCTTTAACAATCCAATCAAAAAATCATAACTATTACGCTAGTTTAATACTTCAAATCCTATTTTAAAAAGTGTCATCAAAACAGTACGCCAGCAGGAAATCAGTTGAAGTGGTTTGTGTCGCATCGAAATGCACTCCAAGGGGATCCCGAAAGCGCCTATTGACCATGGTTGCAAGAATTGCAACCAAGCGATTACAACCCGAATTATGTAGGTAGTTTGTCAAACTTTAACCCTGTCATGGCTAAAACCTGGTCAGCCGGTCTCAGACATATTGTTCCATGACAGCGGGTTTAAATTGTCATTGATTGTCACAGCTAGTAAATTCCAATTCCTCCTCGTACCTCCGGTCAGAACATACCCATTAAATCGCTGCAACACTATCAGTAGCCTCTGTTTCGGTGAATGTCTTTCGTAATTCTATATGTCCTATATATATATATATATATATATATATATATATATATATATATATATATATGTCGTTACATTCCCCTCTAATTGTTTGCTTGGATTTTCCGACTAGATCCTCATTTTCTTCACGTGTCACTGTTGCTCTCTTCGATAGTTGATCCCTCCACTTGGAATCATGTGATTGAACTCTACCCTCATATCGTGGACTGTGTTCTTGTCATTGGGGGTAGTCCAATGACCGCAGCACTGCATCGACTTCTGCAGCTCTATGGTGAACTATTACGTTCATCTAGTCTACCAGACGAAGATACGACCCATCCATCCACGCGGATATAAACTTGTGTTTTGACGAGTTTTCTCATGGCTGTGCTACCCTACATAGAAGATTACTGGTAACTTGTTTCTTCGCAACCACCAGTTTCCCTTCCGGTTCGGTTTCGGGACGCGAAAAATTCACTCTGACCGGTCTCTGATGTGATCTGTTTCCCCACCTTTTCTGCTCTTTCCTCCTTCTTTCGAGCTCTCGCATGTTGATTTGCACTGTCAGCACTCACTGTTTCACTGCTAGATTTTTCTAATTGATCCTTTTTAACGTTCCCACCGGTTTTCCATGGCTCTCAGGTGGTCTCTAACCAACTCCTTTTGTCTGTGGTCTGGGTTCTTATCATCATTGTTTTACTTGCACACAACAACAATCGTATTCATTGCTTGATACTGCTTTCCATGCCAGGCATATTCTTACAAATAATGACCTGACCAGTGTGTATGAAGACAAGCAGTTTGGTCGATTCAGTGCCATCCGGTAGACGTTTGTTTTCAGCTTGGCTATCGAGATGAAACAGAGTGTGGCGGGAAATGGTTTGTTTTCCTTGTTTGCACACATACCTCATTTCTCACATGGCCTTAGACAGGAACGTGGGTTGCACTGCTATTGTTACATTATTAATCAGTTCCTTGCTTTGAGGACTCTGACTCATTTGAGTCAGACTCTGACTCAATCGATGCTTGTTTAAGCAGTGCTTGCTTTAATCTCACAGCCGCCAATAACCATTGAATCGATCCTGATCGTGATGTGGTCACAGCCCACCTACATCCTTTGGACGGACACGTATAGTGTTTGTCTGCATGTTCGCTGGTGAGCTTTAGAAGTGGGTCGAGTGCGTCAGTTTCGTGCCAACCGTTGTTCACCTTACTTGGTCAACAGCCTTCATCCTAACAAAACAATTGGTGGGATAATTTCGATTTTAACGGTGTTCACCTCCGAGGCGTTGTCAACCACGTGTAGCGCCTGATCATAACATGCGTTCGGAACTCCGTTTGAACTGACTCAACACACTGAGTAGGGCGTCCATACTTCGATACACATCTTATGTCCCTTGAGTACGTATCCAACTGAATATGTCGCCAAACCTTGGGGTGCTTACTATCACCTAATCCCAAATCCCCAAAAGCATAATCATTAATCGCTACCCGGATGGATTATTACGCTTTGGTACAGTGGCTTTCATTAATTATGCACTAAGTGTAGCTAAATCTTACAAGTCATCTGTTAAGTATGGCCCTTGGCCGACAAACGGAACAGAACGCGCATGTGTAGTATGGGACCGATTTACTAAAAGCATCCTGCGTTACAATGGCTAGAAAAACCGCAAACGCAAACCAATGAACTAAAGAAAGTAAGGTAAGATCTTTCTCAACCAATAATGTGAGGGCCTGTGTTTACGATTCGATACTCAGGTGCGTACGTGACACCCTTCACTTATCTGGTCAAGACTGCAGACTCCGGGATGATACCGATCAATTGGTTTAGACATGCGTTTTAAGCGTCTTACTTGTAGTTGCACCGCATCCGTTTGTGGTTCCTGGTTTTGTGAAGCAGATTCTCCGTCCGTTTTTGGGTCAGTAGCCGTCGCTTTTTGTTCCCGCTCCTGTGGTTCGTTTGAGCGATTTCGGATATGGTCAAAATGGCGACGCACCACACGACCGTCCTGCAACTGTAGCTTCGCTTGGTTACTCGTTGAGGACATGAGTGTAACAGGTTGCCAACTTGTTTCGTGTGGTAGTCTTGTGTACACCGGATCAAAGTCATTAAGACACTTCCTCTGACATCTTCTCATCTACACACATTTTCTCCTACTTTTCCTTCAGAAAAAGTAGGGGCAGTCTCCTCCGTAGTGGCCGACCAAACATTAATTCCGCGGGTGACTTCTCTTTCGACTCATTCGGTGTCGTGCGGTAAGAGAACAGGAGACGACGCGGGCTAGTACGGCGCAGACTAAATGTGCTGTATTCCGTTGTTACTCAAGAACTGTTGAAGCTCTTCACTGGTAAATGGGGTTCCGTTGTCTGTGCATACCGACTCTGGGATAACGAAAATGGCGAATTTGGAGCGCATTTTTGCAACTGTTTTTCGCAGAAATCGCATGTGGAACTGGATGTACTTCTATCCATTTAGAGTGGGCATCAATCAAAAGTAGGCACATCAACCCATTGATAGGGCCAAAGTAGTTCGCGTGTACCCGCTGCCAGGGCCTCTCCGGCCAACATCATGGACGTATCGGTCCGGGAGATTTTTGCCTTTGGTATTTCTGACATTCTTCCTAGTTTTTCAGCAGCCGCTCTATGTCCTGGTCAATGTTCGGCCACCAACAGTAACCACGTGCCAGCTGCTTCATCCTGTTCACGCTGGGGTGTGCGTCATGCAACTCTCAGCGACTGTGAGCCGTAGTTCTTTTGGTGCAACTATGCGCGAACCTCGAAATATTCAGTCGTCGTATAGACTCAGCTCATTACTCCGATAGGCGCATGGTTTCAGTTCGTCTGACGTGCTTGTAGGCCATCCGGTCATCAAGAACCGTTTCACCATCGACAACTCAGGGTCCCGGTCCGTTAGGCGCCGCACCACGTTACTCCGGATGGGTGTCTTTTCAAGGTGTTGCATCAGATTGATAAACTCCATGGGTTCCCTATTCGTTTTGTGCCATGCTGCCGCGGGAGGCGACTAAGTACATCGGCTATAGTATTACTTGGTTCGTTTACATGCTGAAGTTTGTAGCTATAGGCGCTTAAAACGTAGTGCTCACCTTTGCATTTGAGGCGAAGACATCTGTTGGATTCCTTCCTCCTCACCCAGAAGCGAACGAAGTGGTTTATTGTCAGTGTGGATATCAAACTGTCTTCCGCAAACGTACTGATGGAAATGCTTGACACCGAAAATAATCGCTAAGGCCTCTCTGTCCAGTTGGGAGTACTTCCTTTCTGCGTGTTGCGGGGTACGAGAAGCAAAAGCGATTGGACGAAGAGCATCTTCATCCGTCCGGTGGCAAAGTACTGCGCCTACTTCGCGGGGGGAAGCATCACACTGCAGCACTAGAGACCGGCTCGGATCGAAATGCACGAGATACGGGGAGGCGCTGAGCGCCTTTTTGCATCTGTGAAGGTCTTTCTTTGATCCGGACCCCAAGTCCAGGACTTCCACTTGTGTAGCAGTTCGTACAAGGGTGCAAATACTGTTGAGCCGGTAGGTCCGAAGCGACGATAGTGAGAAAACATCCTTAAAAACGATCGGTTTAGCTTCATTCTTGGATTCAGGTGCGACAAGGATGGGCTTTACCTTGTCTTCTAACACGTGTAACCCGTTTTTATCGAGGCGGTAACCAATGTAACGAACGGAATCGGAGAAAAACGTACTCTGTACTTCTTCAGTTTGAGTCCATTCTGTTGTAAACATTCAAGCACAGTGAATAACATCAGCATCTGTACGTCCTGTAATTAGAATGTCGTCAAGATAGGCGCAGGTGAAAGGAATATCTTTGATCAGGTTGTCAATGATCCTTTGGAATAACGCTGGGGCCGAACAATGATTTATGTCGGGTAAAAAGCAGTTGCTTGACAAGTCCCGCAGGATGGTGGGATTGCAACTACAATTATCAAAAGATAGGCGAATTGTCTGTTCGAGCGTTTCTCTAGCAGATACACTGCTAAATAATAGTCGTGTAAGTGAGAATAGAATGCGAACGACGAGACAAAATGGGGACAGTTATAGTTGTACTCTGTGAGAAAAGTAAGAAGTTAAAACGAGAATACTCACTTCTATCCCGCATCCTCAGGTTTATGTAACATGTTAATCCGGTTTGGAAGGATAAGTAATATATTCCAAAGTTGCACAGTTTAGTCAACGAAGTGATGGGGGACATGGGCAAGATCCAATCCTTTGAAACTCTCCAAGATGGGGAAGGAAACAACGAAGTTTGGGAGAAAGTTCCAGCGTTGGCAAACCCGAAGAGAAAAATAATTCCGCCGGCATTCCAGGCGGCCAAACTGTGCACACAATTTCATAGGGTTACCTCTGAGATTGGTGTTATGGCTGAGTTTCAGCAAGTGATGGCATAAGTGATTAGGGTCACTCAATATTTGGTACACTAATATGAGATGACCGCGCAGCTTTCAATAGCGCCCGCTGAAAACCCCCAGTGACTTCAGCCTTTGTCAGTAGGACAGATTTCGTAGGCCCTTGACGTTTTTTGTGGCCCTGCGTTGTGGTTTCTCTAGTACTTCTAAGTCGCGCTTCAACCAAGCTTGCCAAGCTTCGATGGCGTATTCAACGTAAGGGCGCACGTAATAATTGTGCATCATGCGGAAGATGGATGGGTCGAATCTTCCGAATGCTCTCCACAGCAAGCCGACGTGCTGGTTGGCTCTCTTCGCAGCTGCCTCTGACTGCTTTGAACAGTTAAGGTCACTTATAATGAGCACACCAAGGTCGCGTTGTTGGGAAGTCGTTTGCAATGCATGTGATCCAAGCCTGTACACGTAGTCATGCCTATGGCGCAATTGAACAGTGTGACATTTTTCCACATTGAACGGTAAGGTGTTCAGAACTGATCAGGTTGAAATCGCGTTGTGGTCACGCTTGAGCTTTTCGTGGTCGTTCGGTTCTTTGATCGCTCGCCATAACGATATCATCCGCGAAGAATAAGAAATCAGAGGTAATTTCCCTCGTCAGAGGGTTTATAAAAATCAAGAATTGACGGGGCCCGAGCCTTGTGGTACGCCGCACTTCACCTCAATTGCGTCGGACAGAGATTCTCGTACTCTCACTTCCAACCGACGTTCATGCAGGAAGTTGCCTATCCAACGCAGCAGTGGGTCACCAATGCCATAGAGCTGAATTTTATGAAGGAGAATTCGGCGGTCTAAGCGATCGAACGCTTTTGAGCAGTCCAGGTAAATGACATCAACTCCTGCTCCACCAACAACTGCTTCAGTCCAACTACTACGTGTAATCAGCAGGTTTGTAGTGCATGAGCTGTTTCGTCTGAAGCCATCATGATCTG